ACCCTTTTATTTTTATATACACAACCGACATTATGGGAGGAGAGTTTTCTTCCACACACTATCAAGATGTCATTTGGATTCGAACCTAAGATTACTGATATGCAATTTAAGATCATTTCCACTAGGCTAGACCATGTTTGTGATCACATAATACTTTGATTTCTTAAAAGAAAAAAGGAAAGTCTAAATCTCTTTTGAATTAATTAACGAAAAAATATACATATATATATATGCACATATTAAGTTGTGGATGTAGACACAATTGCAGAATTCATTAGAGAAATTACTAAATCGATTTAACAAACCTAAAGAAACTATGAGAGCAATTGAGACTTAGATAAATACAAATAGTTGACAGAAAGAAAGTCATGAAGCAAATGTGAAAATTGAGTAAATTTGCAAATCCTAGATTCTGTTAAAGAATGTAAGTTCCACATCGGAAACTTGACAAAATAAAATAAAATATATAACAAATGGTTCCACTACTAATATCACTGAAGTTTTTTGTGATAAAACCTCATATCCACTAGGCTTTGTAGGTGGTTAAGTTTGGGACAATATCGGTATTGTTAGTAGTGGGTCGCTGACCCGTCTCTATGAAATTTAACAGATTCAGGGCACATAAATAAGCAATTGTACCTTGTAATTAATGAAGAAAAAGAAAATGAACAAAATTGGTATTTTCTTGTTCTTCATTTATATACATGTGAATCCTGTAATAAGGGAATCTTTACAGCATTACATAAATCAAATTCAAAAGGTAAGAAGAAAGAATGACGACAATGCATCGCATAGATGTGGTCCGGTTGACATCCGCATCTAGAGGCTCTTTCTTGAGCAACATGAATAATATTTTGAGTTACTCTAGAGCAATGGTTTTTTTTTTTTGGGTTCTTTGTACAGCTCATTTCATGCAGATTATGATTCTCCAAAGCTTATGCGTCCTCCTGATGATTTTGCCAAGTTTACGAGCGAAAAAATTCGGGAGTAAGAAGACAGGGCGTGCCAACGGTGGAGGAGAGTTTGCTCTCGCAGGAACGGCTTCAGAGGTGAAAGAAGTTGATCCTCCATTGTTGCTACTGTGATTGCTGCTGTTTTTTCGAAGATAGAAGCTTCTGCTGCCACAATCCCCAATTACTTCTGATTTATCCAAACCTATTCAATCAAACTAGTGATCAACAAAAATTGTAATCCTAGTTCGGAAAGAACAAAATCAAACACTGGTCAGTACACAAACTTCTTCTCATTGCATCAGTCAAGTAAATGGTGATTTGTTATGAATCAGTCCAACATAAATAAAAAAAACACTTTCACCTGATAAAACAAGAAGCTCACCAAAGAGAAACTTCAATTTCTAATGCAATTACGTTGTTAAACACACTAAATTTGAACAAAAAAATCGAACTTTTTTCACTTACTTTGAAGGCTGAAATAGGACTGATGCAACTCAAATGACAATGCCTCATCCTTATCAAGCTTGGGAGTTCGACCTTCTTTGCTATATTTGTCAACAACAAGCTTGATTGTCTCGTCCACTGTAGATCTCAGCTTAACCATGGCTCGAACCGGTCCCGGGCTTCCTTCAACGGACACATTCAAAACCACCTTTGCATCTTTCATGTATCCCTGTATGGCCAAATCTACCACATCTCAGCTCCCTAAGTTCATATTAATTAATTAAGATTAATCCATTTTAGTTTCAACTTCAAATGAACAGAGAGAAGTACAAGCAGGTCATGTAGATGATTTTGAACTATCAAAATATTCTAAACAGTAAATGCAAATCATTATTGAAAAAAAAAGGTCCCTACAATTCAACCCAATTCAAAACCCAAAAATCCCCTTCCGAAAAACATAAAAATAAAATAAATAAATAAATAAATGAAAATGAAAAGGCAAAAACAAAACTGTGTGCCATTTTGACCGTCGTACCTCGTGCTTCTTGGGGGAGAAGGGCATCATCAACGAAGGAGACGAAGCAAAGATGTCCGTACAAGTCTGAGGCCGGAACAGAACACCCTCCGGATCCGACCTCAGGTCTCGAACACGAAAACCCTCCTCCCCAAAATCGCTACCAGCCGACGAGCAGAAAAATATGGTTAGAGTGGTGGTGATTGTGGTGCTGCCTGGGCGATCGCCGAGGTTGAGAGTACCGTCGGTGCGGCGACGGCGAGGGGTTCGGCGTCCTTACTTTCCGGCCTCTGGTCGCCTGAGATCGTCGCCGGTGACCCCTCTCTGACATGTAAATAAATATCTAGTTGTAAAATCAAAGTATAAATAGTGGGTTGATTAAGATTTGGGAAGAAAATAAAAGTTTGAATATGGGTTGTTTGTTTATTGGGTTTTGGAAGCTTTGAGATTTGAGAGGAGAAGAAACTCAGATGGAAAATGGAAGTTGAGGGGGGTAAAGGAAGTTGGTGGGTTTTGCTTGAGAGGGAAGGGAAAGGTTCTTTGTGCTGCACAGTGTAATAACTGCTTTTTTTTATTCTCAGTCAACATCACTATTTTTGATTGGTAGGTTTGTAATGTCAAAAATGCCCTTGAGGTCTTGCTTCTTTTTTGTTTGTTTTTTTTGCCAAACCATGAGAGAATATTATTAAAGATTCTTCTGCCTTGTGCCAATTGAGGGTGTATTTAAGGTTGCGGACGGAGGTGTTGAAGCGTGAGGAATGGTGTAGGTGTGCCAAGGTCCCTTTCTCTTTGGCCATCACATGTGAGAGAATATAAATATATCAAGTTGTCTGGTTGCTCCACTTGTATGTTAGAATAGACTTGTTAATGGATCGGATTTTTATATGAATTTGATGTCATTAATAGAAGATAGATCTTGTGACATAATTTGATAATTTGTTCATTCGTTAAATTATCCAAACAAATTTGAATGATCTAATTCATATCCGACTCATTTACAGGTCTAAATTAAAACAGTTGACGAAAATAATGCGTCCACCATCCTGCACTAGAATAAGTAATTGGTGGGGTGCAAATGGAATTTCACTGCTCTAATATGACTAATTAAATTGCTTTCACGAGTACATGCGCACAAGATGTAAATAAAATAATAAATATTGTCGTAGAAATTGACAAACCGTCCATCCAATTAGAAGGGAACACTACCTTCCAGATTGTACCGAGCCAATTAGGCTAAAAGACGGTGACTTCAAGATTTAAAACATGATGCACAAAATCAAATTTTTAGGCTTTGACAAAAACACCTGAAAATAAGTCGTTATAACGTATTGGAGTGGGACATTTTATCCATTAGGTAATAATGGGTCATCTAATTAGTTTAATACGCATGAGTAATTCGTAATCGGAATTTAATTCTTATTTTGATTTCGATTGTGAATTAATAAACATGTCATTAGAGCGATTCCAGCGAGGCCACTGAGCCTCGGGCTGGGGGAAAAAAAACAAAAAATTTGTTTCCAGCGATGAGCCCAAGCAAGGGCTGGAGTGGGTCCCACGCAACTCGGGCTAGCCCGAAGGCTAGTTCAGCCCAATATCCAAAACGAGGGTTGTTGCTGATGCTAGGCTGGCGTCAGCCCGCTCATTTAATTTTTTTTTCTACTGCCACGTGGCGTCGTCTGGGCTCTCCGATATGATTTTTTCCTCCAATCTAACGGCAGCCAATTTTTTTGCAATAAAATACTGGAAAAAATTTGAAATTTTTTTAAAAAAATACCCATAAATTAATGAATTTTTTTTTCTATAAATACCAGCCAATTTTTTTTTAAATTTATATGAAATTTGAAATTGAAAATTTTATCCGATTATGAGATATGAATAGTATTGACATGTAGGAACCTGAAAATCTTATCCAAAAATATTATCCAAATTAATTATTGAGGTAAAAAAAATTGTGAAAAAAATAAAAAAATGAATAGTAATTGCCCTTTGCTATGGCAACGGGTGGAAATGGGTGGCTGCCCTAGCTCCCCCTTTGCCATGGCTAAGGGCAAATAGGTGGAGTTGCTATTAAAGAGATCTAAAGTTAGCAATGATTCACAGATTGCTTTCTCCTTAGTTTGGCCAACTTGTCGAAATCATAAAATAATGTATAGGATTACATGTTTTTTTTTTTTTAAGAAACATGTTTAAAATATTTAAATATACAGAGTTTGGAAGCCTTTTCTTTAAGGCCCAAACAAAACGGCCCAAATCTGGGAATACCAAATGAGTCCTCATACTTCTAAGAGTTTCAGCTTCGATTCCATGGAGCACAAAGCAAATGCTGCAACACAACTACAATAAATGGAGATGGTCTAAAATATTCCTGTTTTTAAACAGTTTCTTTAGTGATTTAAAATAACAATTATTACTGTTACATAAACTCAACCAAGGAGTTAGCTGAAGATCAAGAAAATCTTACTTGTGTACCTTGCTAGGTAAAGAATTGAAGAATGAAGAGGAGACCTACAAGAAAAGTCCCTGCCAGCTGAGGACAGTCCACAGAATTCATCTGGTTTTCTACAGGAATTCTAACTTTTTCTGCCCAACTATTGTACATGTTGTACTTCTGAGCTTGTAATTGTAAAACAATTCAGATTGATTGCATCCAGCTACACCCAGGAATCTTGGTGAATCCTTTCTTCTCCATAACCTTTCTCAATTTCCTCGCGTCGTCCCATCTCTCAGCAGAAGCATAAATGTTGGCAAGAAGAGCATAATAACCGCTTTTATCAGGCTCCAATTTAAAGCAATTCCGAGCGGCAATCTCTCCAAGCTCAACATTATTGTGTAATGAGCAAGCAAGAAGCAAGGCTCCCCACACCCCAGCTTGAGGTTGCATCGGCATGCTCCTTATTAGCTCAAGTGCTTTATCGAACTGTCCTGCCCTGCCTAAAAGGTCGACCATGATCCCATAATGATCGCCTGAAGGCACAACTCCATGGTCATTCATTGAATTAAAGCATCGGTAGCCTTCTTCAACCAAACCAGCATGGTTATAGGCAGTTAGTAGCCCAGTGTATGTGACCGAATTTGGGCAAATTTGGGCGCTTACCATCTCCTCAAACATCTTGGTTGCATCAACTGCCTTACCATTTATGCCGCAACCCAAGATCATCGCTGAATAAGCAACTACATCTCTCTTTTTCAAGCCATGAAACAACTTATATGCCCTTTCAATGTCTCCACATTTTGTGTACAAGTCAAGTAAAGCAGTAGCCAAATGATCATCTAATTCAATTCCATCCTTACTCATATACGTCTCAATCCATAACCCAAATTTCAAATCTCCCAGTTGTGAACTAGCAGATATAACACTCGCCAAAGTCATCTCATTTGGTTGAATATTCACCTCCCGTTTAAGTATCTGGTTGAACAGCTCAAGGGCATCCTTTGGTTGACTATTTTGCGCATAGCAAGCTATCATGGCATTAAAAGAAAGCACGTCTTTCTCACTCATCTGATCAAAGAGTTGACGAGCAGACTCAACATTGCCGCATTTTGAGTACCCGCTAATCATGGCAATCCAAGAAACTTTATTTCTTAATGGCATGGAATCAAAAATGCTTCGTGCCGATTCCATTCTTCCACAATCCGCAAAACCACTAATCATTGCATTCCAAGATGCTGAACTCCTCTCTGGAATTTGTTGAAACAAGAAAAACGCCTTGTCCATATTCCCTATTCTTGCATACCCCGAAACCATTGAATTCCAAGACACAACATCCTTATTCGGAATCTCATCAAACACCACCTGAGCCTCTTCCATATTCCCAGCTTTCAAATACCCAGATAAGATAGAATTCCAAGAAACCACATTCTTCTCTGTCATTCCATCAAACACCTTCCGTGCAGTTTCCATGTCACCCAGTTTAGAATACAAGTCCACAAGGGCAGTTTGTACATAAACACAGCCGCAAAACCCATACTTATGAACCTGGGCATGGATTGAAGTCCCGCACACCTTATGTACAATCCTAGCACATGCCCTTAGAGCTGAGGACACAGCAAAACTAGTTGGGCACAGTCCTAGCCTTTTGATTTGAACGTAAAGAGACAAAGCCGTTTTGTACTGGAAATGCAGAGAGAAGAAACGAATGGCACAACCCCATGAAAAGTCATCTGGGTTTTGCAAATTGTGAAGGATTTGGTGCACATACTGAGCTATAGTTCTAGAGTAAGTGAAATTTGAGTGGAGGACATGGCGGAGCAAGAGGCTCTGAAGCTCGTTAAGGCCATTGGTGATAATGGGTGCATGGATTTGTTTTAGTTGGTTCAAGGTGAGACTTTTATTCAGTAAAAATACAAGATTTGGACCATTTGGATTCATGTTCTTCTTCTCTTCATGCTTTGGAAAAGGAAGTGGGAAGAACTGAGATCAAGTTTTCAAAACCTTCTCCAAGTTCAGGTGGCAAATTTTGCACTTTCAGATAGTTGAGCTTTGATCACCTTCTTAGACAAGACATAAGAGTACCAAAGTTTGAGTTGATGATGGGCTTGGGCCTAAAGGCCCAGTAAGCCGAGTTCAACTTGGATTTCCTTGGCCCTGTTTTGTTGTGAAGTGGGATGTAGTGGTCCAAATGATTACCGAGATTTTCTCTCTTTTTGTTTTTGACTAAGATTTCTGATATTCTTCAAGGCATTTGAAGATTTTTTATTTTTTTTTAATTATTAAAGGCCAAAAGCTAATGACGTTAGGGAGCTTCACTAATATACCCAAAATAAGGGTTGAAATTTTTTTTAAAAAAAAACCCCCACATAGAATGCACTTTAGAAACACATCATGGCTTCATTAATGTGTTATGTTGATTAATGACTGTAATATTCCACACATTTACTGTCATGTTGATTAATAGTTGTAATGTTTCAGTTTAGGGTAATAACACTGCTAGTTTGTTGTTATGTTGATTAATGACTGTAATGTTTCAGTCTTATGTAATAACACGGCTATTTTCCTATGACATCCTATTTCTAATGTATGTCTATCCATGTAATGTTCCAGTCTATGGTAATAACACTTCCAGTTTCATATGACATCATATTTTTAATACATGTATACCTTTGTAATGTTCCAGTCTAAGGTAATAACATTGCTAGTTTACTGTCATGTTGATTGACGGCTGTAATGTTCCAGTCTAGGGTAATAACGTTGCTAGTTTACTATCATGTTGATTAATTGCTGTAATGTTCCAGTCTAGAGTAATAACACTGCTAGTTTCCTATGAAATCCTATTTCTAATGCATGTCTACCCCCTGTAATGTTCCAGTTTAGGGTAATAACACTGCTAGTTTCCTATGATATCATATTTCTAATACATCTCTACCCTTGTAATGTTCTAGTCTAGGGTAATAACACTGCTAGTTTCATATGACATCCTATTTCTGATGCATGTCTACCCTTGTAATGTTCCAGTTTAGGGTAATAATATTGCTAGTTTACTATCATGTTGATTAATGATTGTCATATTGCTATTTCTAATGCATGTCCAACAAAGAAAAGATGAAGAAAGAACAAACCAGACCAACTAAAAACAAGTTGAGCCTAAATTGTTAATATTATTATGTCATAGAAGTACGTTGTTAATATTCTGTAATAGAAGTACATTGTTAATATTCTGTCATAGAAGTATATTGTTAAACAAAAATAAGACCCATAACTGAAATAGTAATCAACAATAAATCGATCATCAAATCTTAAAATAAATTTTGAAAATCAACTAAAATCCGAAGAGAAACACATAATTGAAGCAAAAAATCAAAAATCTCAAATCCAAACCAAACAACAACGACGACAATTATGATGACAACGACGACGACGACGACGTGGCGAAGAGGAGTAGAGCTCGAAGATGAGGAGTATAGCTAAAAACATTTGATCAAGGTTCGTTCGAGGTCTTGAACAATCCGAAGAAAAAAACAATAGAAGCACGATTTTAAAACAAAAAATCGAATGTGAAATATTGAAAATTGTAGATTTAAGATGCAAAATATAGCTGGACCTGAGATTGAGCTTCAATGGAAGCTCCTCTTGCTCCAACACCAGAGAAAGCACCAACAAAAAAGGAGAAAATAAATCTGATTTGGTTTTTTGGCAAATTTGGTTTTTATAGTAGATGTGGTTTTTTTGCAGATGTAGGTTTTTGGCAGATATGGGCAAATCTGATTTTTCTCTCTCAAATCCATAATACAAGGGCAATATAGGTATTTAACACACACAAATAAACTAAAAAACAACTATTAAATTGAAAAAATTGACAACTGCCAATTTTTGGGTTTTTTTGGGTGTAGTTATAGTTTTTAAAGTATAGGGTTTTTTTTATAAAAATATGTCTAAGATTGGGTATATAACTAAATTTCTAAAAACTTTATTCATCAATAGAATGTAAAGAACGCAAATCATCCTGAAGGTAAGAGTGAGCTAAGCCCCTATTCCATCCAATAACATATCTCATTACAAGATAAAGTAAATTTGACTAATTGGTAAGCCACAAAATTACATGTACGAGGTTGGTGTTGCAAGGATACAAATACAAAACGACGAAGTAACTCTTTCAGCTCCTCTATTGACTCTTCTTCCATGCTCATGTCAAATTCAGTTCGGTTTACGACGTTAATCACCTCCAAGCAATCACTTTCAATAATCAGCTTTGTGAATCATGCATCTATTGCCATTTGACAACCTGCAATCATAGCCAAGGCTTCAAAAGCATTAAGGGAAAGACAACCAATTACCGGTTTAGCCATGGCACCCATTAATTTCCCTTTGGAATTTCAGACTACTACTCCTAGCCCCATCTTTCTATCAGCCACATAACATGCCTCATCAACATTTAGTCTCAGTAAGTTACCATCAATAGGTTTCCAACAAGAAGTAGCTAGCAACATGGCGAGGTAACTTAGGAGATGGACATAAATCAACAAAATCCTTATAAAAGGCTAGTGATGTGTCATAAACTGCAAAATGGTCTCTTATTACGCCTCCATGGAGACTCTTGTTTCTCTCAGCCCAAATTATCAAGCTATCACCGTGAATAAACATAAATCCTCATCCTGGAAAGTGGTATGAACATGGTAAAAGAGATCCATGAAAGAACATACCTGTTGTGTCTCAACTAGTTAATAGAAAGGGGAACACTTCCAAACCCGTCGTGCAAACTTACAAGACCACAACAGATGCACCAAATCGTCATCAGCTCTCAAACATCGAATACATACACCTGAGGATATCACATGTCGACGTGCAAGAATAGCTCGGCATGGAATAACATTTTTTAATGCACGCCAAAGGAAAAATCGTGCCTTAGGCGGTAATTTCAACTTCCAAATCTATTTCCACACGCTTTGTATAGTTGGGTAACTAGACTCCCCTTGCCTTAACCTCCCTTTCTGTCCTTGTTTTTCAAAGCAAGCAACCCAATATCCACTTCTCACTGTATACCACTCAATGCAGATAAAATAGTTGTAGCATCATGGGATCGCATACTTATTAATAGGAATAGTTGGAAGGGACGAGACCATGAATGTAGTTGGTGTCAGTAGCCACCTATCAACATAAACACCCACTGACTCACCTTTCTCAATTCTCCAGCGAAGGCTCTTCTTCAACAAATCTTGCCCTTATATCACACACGCCATAAATATGAGGAACCATGACTTGCATAGACTTCCAAAAACCTTCTCCTAGTATAATACTTTTCTCAGAGTAATTGAGTAATAAGAGAATGTGGTACAATATGAATTTTCCATGCCATTTTAGCCAACATGGCTTGGTTAAAATCTTGTGTATCTTTAAACCCCAAACCCCATCCTTGGCCTTGCATAAATCCTCCCATGTTAGCCAATGAATTCCCTTATCCCTTCCCATGTGTGTCCATCAAAATTGAGCAATGAAGTCGGATTTCCTTACAAATGCTCACTGGCAACTGAAAACATCTCATGATATACGTAGAAATCGATTGTGCAACCACCTTGATCAAAACTTCCTCACCAACAATTGAAATAAGCTTTCCCTTCCAACTTTGTAGCACCGTTCTCAATCTGTCTTTCATCTTTTAGAAAATTTGGCGTTTATTCCTACCAACCATTGTCGATAAACCAAGATACTCCTCATGAAAGGGAACCATAGGGATTGGAAGAATAGACTCAATAATACCATGTAATGCAGGTTCTAAGTTAAGACCAAAAGTAATAGCTGATTTCTCCAAGTTAATTTTTTTTTGCCCGATGCTCTTTCATATAAAGTAAAGATCTCTTTTGTTGATGCCAAAAATGGGTATCAACTTAGATAGGTATGAAGTGGTGGATGATGGGTGAAGGTGAGGACCTTCAGCATGTGTGTGAAGACTTGGGCAAGCGATAAATATACAGAAGATGAGATATACGTGGTTCACACTTAATGAATAAGCTACATCCAAGGAGAAGGATGTTCTCATTATGATAATGTTTGTTTACATTTGTACAAGGGGATTAGACCCAAAGATAAAGGAAATAAGGCTCAAGGCCTAAGGTACAAAGCCTAAGAGTCCAAGGCCCAAGGGTCAAGATCCAAGACCCTTTTCTAAGTGAAGAGTAGTCTTTCTTTATAGGTGAGGGGAGTCTCCACCTCTTGTAATCTTCCAATGTGGGACTCTTTGCATTGCTTAGAGCAATGACTTGTGGTAAGACTTCTTTGGCTAAGGTGATGACCTCTCAAAGCATGGCACGTGGCTGATCTAGCTTAGCTAGTTGCTCGGTTAGTAACGGTATCAACATTTTTAAAGCCAAATTGAGTTGGATTTGCATGAGCAAACAATAGGCTATCTTCTATAAAGAGTATATGTGTTATGGAAGGTGCGTTCTGTGCTACTGACACACCACAAATAGCTTCATGCGTTTCAGCCAGTTTCAAAATACTTGAGAAACCTTTAGTACATAATAAAAATAAGGGCTAACGACAAAAGACACCCTGCTGGTTTGGGCTGGTTCTCAATATGGACTCTAGGGTATCAATTTTATCAATTTACACCCTTACATTTGCAACATCGTCCAATTTCATCATTCCGTTAAGTTAACTGTGTAGTCAATTGTTAAATGCTGACGTGTCTACTGTGGGACCCACCTACTAACAAAAAAATGTATTTAAAATAATAAAATAACGTTCTAACAAAACAAAAAAAATTTAAAAATCAACTTAAAAAATCCCAGCCCCTCTTACTATCAAATATGCATCTCCCAGGCCAAAAAACAAAAACACTTTGAGAAGGGGAGATCATTGATGGCAAGACTAACTTCAATCGATTAGCAATGGATTTTGCAATGATCTTATACACCACATTGCACAAACAGATTGGACGATATTTTCTGGCAAACTGTGGGTTTGGTATCTTTGGAATAAGAGAGATAAGTGTATGATTAAGACCATCCAGCTCCATTTCCCC